TGAGTGTCAGGACCAGCAATGTACAGTGGGGATCGAAAGTTTGGGCAACCCAGCTAAAAATTTGTATTAATGTGCATAAAGAAGCCAAGGAAAGATGGAAAAATCTCCAGAAGGCATCAAATTACAGATTAGACATTCTTATAATATGTCAACAAAAGTTAGATTTTATTTCCATCATTTACACTTTCAAAATAACAGAAAACAAAAAAATGGCGTCTGCAAAAGTTTGGGCACCCTGCAGAGTTAATATCTTGTACTGCCCCCTTTGGCAAGTATCACAGCTTGTAAACGCTTTTTGTAGCCAGCCAAGAGTCTTTCAATTCTTGTTTGAGGTATCTTTGCCCATTCTTCCTTACAAAAGTCTTCCAGTTCTTTGAGATTTCTGGGCTGTCTGTCACGCACTGTTGTTTTAAGGTCTATCCATAGATTTTCAATTATGTTGAGGTCAGGAGATTGTGAAGGCCATGGCAAAACCTTCAGTTTACGCCTCTTGATGTAATTTGATGTGTTTAGGATCATTATCCATTTGTAGAAGCCATCCTCTCTTTAACTTCAGCTTTTTCACAGATGGCATCAAGTTACCATCCAAAATTTGCTGAAATTTTATTGAATCCATTTTTCCTTCTACTCGTGAGATGTTCCCTGTGCCTCTGGCTGCAACACAACCCCAAAGCATGATTGATCCAACCCCATGCTTAACAGTTGGACAGAGGTTCTTTTCATTAAATTCTGTGCCCCTTCTTCTCCAAACGTACCTTTGCTCATTCCGGCCAAAAATTTCAATTTTAACCTCATCGGTCCACAGAACTTGTTTCCAAAATGCATCAGGCTTGTCTATATGTTCATTTGCAAAGTTTAAACAATGATTTTTGTGGTGAGGACGTAGAAGAGGTTTTCTTCTGATGACTCTTCCATGAAGACCATATTTGTACAAGTATCTCTTTATAGTGGAATAGTGTACCACAACTCCAGTGTCTGCCCGATCTTTCTGGAGGGATCGTGCAGTCAAACGTGGGTTTTGAATTGTTTTTCTCACAATCCTGCCAGCTGTTCTGTCTGATATTTTTCTTGGTCTTCCAGATCTTGCTTTAACTTCCACTGTTCCTGATGACTGCCGTTTCTTAATTACATTCCGAACAGAGGATATTGACATCTGAAAACGCTTTGCTATTTTCTTATAGCCTTCTTCAGCTTTGTGAGCGTCAACTATTTTCAGTTTCAGTTTTCTAGCCAACTGCTTAGAAGAACCCATGGTGCTGATTGTTGGGGCAAGGTCAGATGAGTCTGGGCATTTAAAACCTTTGAGATTGACATAACCTGGTCTTCCCAGACGATGATTGAGAACAATCCATGACACTGGCAGGTCTCAGCTTTGCAAAGGGGGCAGTGCATGCTATAAATTCTGCAGGGTGCCCAAACTTTTGCAGATGCCATTTTTTTGTTTTCTGTTATTTTGAAAGTGTAAATGATGGAAATAAAATCTAACTTTTGTTGACATATTATAAGAATGTCTAATCTGTAATTTGATGCCTTTTGGAGATTTTTCCATCTTTCCTTGGCTTCTTTATGCACATTAATACAAATTTTTAGCTGGGGTGCCCAAACTTTTGATCCCCACTGTACCTGTATGTCTCTGGTGTTGTACCATCACAGGGGGGCGCTGCATGCCCAAGCGAGCATGCAACTCTCCCCCCAGTCTGTGTCAAGCTGAATGAAGATCCCAGTGAACAGGACCCGGTGGTCATGTGATCATTATACGATTGCATGATCACAATGACAACAAAGCTGTTATGAATCAATCTGAGGGGTACAGAGTGCTGTGAGTGGCCCACAGCTCTCACAGGGCACATGGGGCCAATCACAGCAACCTGTACCATGTGAACAGCTGGAGCCAATCACAGATCAGTGTATTTTGAACTGTCATGAACTTAACCCATTCATGACCATTCATGAATGGTAACATCAGATAATGTCAGGATCTGTAAGCTCCCCTCCCAGCCAGGGTCAGCTAGTGTTAAATTGCCCATTCACTTTTGCAGTCACGCTATAGGTCACTGATCACTGCCATTACTGGTATAGTGTTTGTACAGATCAATATATTGATCCCCAACAGAACTATACTAGTGCCTCCTTTGTATAGTGTTCCAAAAAATGCATTGTTAGAAGGATCGGCCCCGTTCGCTACCAGCACTAGTGTTTAGCTGCTCCACTATTTTTAACTGAAGATTTGTATCAATTGATTGTGGGCCAAAGCAATTTATACACACAACCACACATCGCGCCCACCCAAATTCAGCTCTGTGCTTAATAGCAAAAAAGCGGTTTGACCCTGTGTGGTCGCTTCATGAAGGTGAGGGCGCAATCTTACTGGTGAAGGATTACACTTTTTGTTCACCTTCCAGATTTATAATGATCGCTGGAGGTTTCTATATATCCAGCCATATTGAAGATGACACACATGGACAGTTTATTTATTGGATATTAATTGGTGGCACGTGTTTTTGTGGATTTTGTTATAAATTTAAGTTGTGTTTATCATAGAGTGTCACTTTTTTCTTCCTGCTGTTTATATAGCAGTATAGTCCCAAGTTCAGAGACGAGAGCATGGCAATTTATACCTAGGTACATGTGGGCACTTGAGTGGTGGTCGCATATTTATGTTGAAGGATTTGTTATAATCCTTGTAGATTGTCTTATAGTCAGGGTCCATTTATCCTGACTGTCCTAATGTTTGTTTTATAGGCACAATAGTGCCATTTTTCAGTCTATTTCCACTGCACCTTTGGGCATTTATTTATGCCAAGTGTTTTATCACGTGTGGTTTAATACATGTTTGTGATTTCACCCTGTTTAGGGACACAAGTGGGTTTATGTATTTTTTTTTATGTGTTTTGCACATTTTTATTATTATTTCATATGGTTTATCAAACATCACTGCATACGATTGTAATAATATGAAGAATTGAGTTTGGGATAATTACACACAGGAGGATTCACTAGGGGTGTAATTGAAACCTCATTTTTTAATTTAATTATTTATAAAAGTATAAGTGTGGGAGCGCAGCACCAATTTTGTTTTAATTTTTTTTACATATATGCCCAACAAGGACCAGCAATGTACTGGTACGTCAAAGTACTTTGAATGGTTATACCGTGATGATGCATGAAGCTACAGGCATCATTTTGGTATCATTTTTTCAGCTGTAGTCTGCTTTCATGTAAAAACAGTCCGAGTGGCTAATTAACCACTGGATAACTTTTAAAAGCAGCGGGAAGGGACCCACCCCACAGCCTTCCACAATTTTCTTGGGCTCTCCAGTCTCACCAGGAATGCAGCTGGCATTTACTCTGGCTGACCATAGAGCTGATCGGAGACCAGAATGCTTCCAGTCATTTCTATGGTCTAATAGAACGGAAGCTATGAGCATTTCATAATTTTCATTTGCCGGATATAACAGCGCCATTTTAAAAATGGGAATGCATCTGATTACACCGATCTTGGTGTGGTCAGATGTGTTAAGGTCAGAGGAGAAGTCTAGAGTCTAACTGACCCCAGATTTCTCAGAAAACAATATCTGTCACTGCCTATTGCTATCACAGAGGATATTTACAGGTGAAACTGGAAAAATTAGAATATCATGCAAAAGTTCATACAGGTGAAACTGGAAAAATTAGAATATTGTGCAAAAGTTCATTTATTTCAGTAATACAACTTAAAAGGTGAAACTAATATATGAGATAGACTCATTACATGCAAAGCAAGATAGTTCAAACCTTGATTTGTCATAATGGCTGATTATGGCTTACAGCTCATGAAAACCCCAAACCCACAATCTGAGAATATTAGAATATTGTGAAAAGGTGCAATATTCTAGGCTCTATATTTTTATTTTCACCAAAGACAAGTAGCAGAATACATTTTGGCCTAAAGTTATGGCTAACTTTGAGTTTTCTGGATATTTTTTTATAACAGAAAATAGAAAATATACAGTTTTTTATTCAAAATGTTCTGTGTTTTTTCGTTAATGTCACAAAAAAATAAAAAAAAAACCCATTCAAATACCACCAAAAGAAAGCTCTATTTGTATGAAAAAAGAATATAAATTTTGCTTGGGTACAGCAATTACATGACCGCGCAATAATAGTGGAAATAGCGCAGTGCCAAATAGCAAAAAATGGCATGTTCATTAAGGGGAGTAAATCTTCCGGAGGGCAACTGGTTGAAGAGGTGTGACAATAATAGGATATACCATACTTCGTTTCACCACAGCTTGGGTTTACAGTTTTCATCTGTCATTTCCTCATTCTTACATTCACAAAGGACGACAGACCATTTCTTTACAGAAAGCAAGGGTTCTCATCATGAACAGCTGTAATTCACTGCATTATTTCTAAGTATAGCCACCGTATATACTCATATATTCCCTGCAATAGCAGCATATATCTTCTCCTAGCATTTCTCTTCACCCCGCAGTAATATGCACATGTCTCTTTCTCTGCCCCAGTACTGCAATATATATTCTTCCACACTCTAGGAACATATACTGTACATCTCTCTTTCCCATCAGAATTCCATTCTTTTTTCCTCAACAGTATACATTTGAATCTCTTCCCATGTGTATTTCTTTTCTTTTCTTTCACTCTTACTCTAGTACAGGGTCTCCAAAAGTTTTAAACAAAGGGCCAGTTCTCTGTCCTTCAGACTTTAGGGGGGGCTGTGATTGTGGCCAGTGGTGTTAGTAAATTCCCAGTAAAGTGGCAGTAAATAATGTCTAAGGCTTTTGGGGGTCAATGGGAGGAGGAATAGTTACCGTATTTTTCGCTCCATAAGACGCACTTTTTCCCCCAAAAAAGGGGGGAAAATGTCAGTGCGTCTTATGGAGCGAATGTAAAGCTGCCGGTCCGGTATTTCTGCCGCCACCATGTCAGAATATTGAGCTGGCCACTCAGCTCTTCTCTCCTGCAGGACCTTACCAGTTCCTTGCTCCAGCGCTGCAGTCTTCCCGCGGCGGCTTCTGTGACAGCCGGGTGCCCACTGCGCATGCGCGAGAAGCGCCACGCTTTGTGAATGGTCCGGTGTCTTCTGGGACACATGACAGGTCCCAGAATGCTCTGGGCCATTCACAAAGCGCGGCACTTCTCGCGCATGTGCACTGGACACCCGGCTGTCACAGAAGCCTCTGTGGGAAGAAGGAAGGAAGGACAACTCCGCGAAAGTGGGAGCGGGTACCTGTCAAATTCAGGTACCCGTTCCCCCTCCCTCCCCAAAGGTCCGCAGTCTCTGGTAATCTCCTTTACTGTCTGCAGTCTCTGGTCATCCCCTGCACTGTCTGCAGTCTCTGGTCATTCCCTGTACTATGTCCGCAGTCTCTGGTCATTCCCTATACTATGTCCGGACTCTCTGGTCATCTCCTGCACTGTGTCCGCAGTCTCTGGTCATCTCCTGTACTGTGTCCGCAGTCTCTGGTCATCTCCTGTACTGTGTCCGCAGTCTCTGGTCATATCCTGGTCATATTTTTTTTCTTGTTTTTCTCCTCTAAAACCTAGGCGCGTCTTATGGTCAGGTGCGTCTTATGGAGTGAAAAATACAGTATATCATCATTGATATCAGTAGGAGAAATAGTGCCACATTATTGGTGTTGATGGGAGGAATAGTGCCCCGTTGTTGGTGTCAGTGGGAGGAATAGTGCCTTGTATAAGTGCTGAGGAATAGTGTGCTTGGGCAAGATAATGGTTAGCAAAGGGCCACATCTGCCCCAAGGACCACAGTTTAGAGACCACTGCCCAAGTAGACCATATATCACTTTGAAGCTTTTACTTCCCTTAGACCCTCTAGGTGTACTCAGCTCCAACCAGAAATCCTGTTCATCTCCTCATGAACATAAATTGGGACATATTTCTCAAGGAATGGTGTTTTGTTATGCTCTATAGGAATGACATCTTTGAAATCTAGTGGCAAGCACTGGGTGTAGTGTGTACTGATAGTGAAGATATGGCTGTCTGTAGCTCTAATAGTAAACATCCATCCTTTTTTGCTGTTTACGGACTTAATTTATTTCTTGTTAATGCTAATAACAGCTTTGCACATAAAATAAATACCTGGCCCCAAATAGCACATTCTGACTTTAATTAGCACAATAATCATACAATATGTTTTGTGATAATGGGGTATGGTATGTATGAAGGAGTATCATCATTAATTTGTGCCTAAGCCAGGATATATTCCAAATACAGACTGCATGTTTCCTTTCTGCAGCATTATCAATTTAAATTACACCGTTGAGTCTTTTTGTTATTGTCTCCAATGCCTATTCATAATAACACCTTAAACTAATCTGAAATAACTTGCACAGACACACAGCCATATGCCTTCCAGTTTCCCATGCATCTAATTAAAGTAATGAATATATTAGTAAAGTGAGATAAGGAGTAAAGCACAGAAAATGCTCCTTATTTGTTGTGTTTTGTTTTTACTTTTTTCCATATTGGGTAAGGCTGTGTTAAGTGCAATATTAATGTGAAAAGGGTTGTAATCCTATAACAACCAAACTTAAAGTGATTCTAAAGGTTTATTTTTTTTAAATCACAAACATGTTATATCTACCTGCTGTGTGCAGTAGTTTTGCACAGAGCAGCCCGGATCCTCCTATTTTCGGGTCCCCTGCCACCATGCCTGGCTCCTCCCTCCTGTCGGGTGCCCCCACAGCAAACAGATTGTCATGGGGGCATCCGCTGCTCCGTGTGTCCATTTACACACAGAGCCATGGCTCAGCCCCACCCCCTCTCTCCTCATTGGCTCACTGGCTATTATTGACAGCAGTCAATTATGTCAATCAGCCTACTTACTTTGAGCCCAGCTTATCATTTACATGTCCCTGAGGAGTACATCATATTCCAGGACTGAGAGGGGCTCACATGCTGCAGTAAATAAAATAAAATTAATTTTAGTAAGTTATAAAACATGGGGTATTATTGAGGAAATAGACACCAAACGTGTCAAGACTCAAAGTTGTGTGTACCAGTGTAATGACTACATTTTTATTAGGTGACTCTTTAAAAGCCTTTACCAGTCAACTGTTTAGCGTTAATCATGAGTAATGGTTCTATAATTATTTTTCTCACTCTGACTCTAATTAGCAGTCAAAGCCCTTTTAACACTGTAAAAATTATAACTTTTACTGAACAGCCAATCACCAGCTGAAAAAAAATTATACCATATGGTATCTGCTACCCTAGGTATATCTTCCCAAAATTGTACCTTCTTCCGGCCAAAGAGTGAGGAGACTATAGAATCCTTTATTTTAAACACATTTTTGCTGTATGTGGACATGGGTCGGTATTTTGCACACAAAAGCAAGCAGCAGAAGGAGCTAAATTTGGACCCAGATCTTAACATTACAAACACATAATTTGTGCCAATAACTACAAGAAGATTTAATTTATATAAGAAGTAACATTTGCACCACAATAACTAAAATATGTGTATGTGAACAAAATCCAATATATATACTCCTGTAGCTGCCAGCTAGCACTTGTAATATGTTACCACACCCCCCAAGTGTAATATGTGACTGTTGTGTAAATACCACCCTATAGCAGAACTACTGCTACACAGCTGTGCAAAATCATATATATATATATATATATATATATATATATATACGTGATTTTGCCGTTCCAGATAGGGGGCACGATCGCCACCCGCACCGCCATTCTTGACCTTGGCTGTCAATCACTGGGTCCTGTCCAGTGATTCCCCGTCGACATCTAGGGAATGCTGAGTATCACCGACGGGAGAGAGACCTGTGTATAGACAACACAGATCTCTCCCCTGTCAGCTCCTGCACACTGCTTTTTATGGCTCTGTATAGCAGAACCATACAAAGCAGTGTGCTTACAGTGGAAAGCACACACAGCTCATAGAAAACCAGCACACAGTTAACCCTTTGATCGCCCCAGATGTTAACTCCTTCCTGACCAGTGCCAGTACGATGTCAGTGCTTTTTATGAGCACTGATCACTGTATTAGTATCACTAGGGATGTCAGGGACACCAAGTCAGTTCCCACCAGTGTCAGAATGCCCACCGCAGTCCTGCTATAAGTCGCTGATTGCCGCCATTACTAGTTAAAAACAAAAAAAAGGGGCGCATGCGTGGCCAGCACTGAAGGTGGACGTGCAGTACAACAGCGCCGTCCACCCTCCAGCCTAAACGCGGCTCAAACCGGCCCTGGGTAACTGTAAGTTCGAGGCACCAATACACATAAGGTGCTCGAACACCCGCTGCAAAGCCGAGGAGGAAAAAAATCCCTGGATCAGCCAGGGAAACTGACACAATTCTTCCCGGCCGTCGGGCCGGGAATCCAAGATGGCGCCCGCGGCTGCAGACAGGGAGACAACAGCAGCGCTCAGCAGGAGGACTACAGGGCTCAGCAACCGGATTCCAGGCTGCAGCACTCACTATACCCAGGGGACCCTGGTGAGTTGTCTCCCCCACTGTCCCCTACATTACGCAGCCCAGCTAAATCCAGGCCACGGCTAGATCAGGACCCTAGCACATTTCACCAGGCCTCAATTTCTTCATTACAACCACCCCATGCAGCTATGCCTGACTTAGAAGCATTCCCTGTGTCAGACACACCACTGACAGAAATATGCATGAAAAACATGCTTACGTCATTGCGCCAATCTTTACATAACGATATCTTTACGCCACTTAACCAACTATCAACTTTAGTACAACAGCAAGAACATAGAATCAGCCACATTGAAAATACCATGGGAGACATAACAACGGCGCACAACAACCTAATTGATGCGCACACAGAGCATTCGTCTGACATTGAGCAAATCAATCAAAAATTAGCTGATCTGGAAGACAGATCGCGTCGCAACAACATCAAATTCAGAGGCATTCCCGAATCTGTCACCAACGCTGACTTAATCCCATACATACAGCAATATGTCAAAATACTCCTCCCTGCTATCTCTGACTTGGAGCTCGCAATTGACCGGGCACATCGCCTACCTAAGCCCCCTTTTTTGCCGGCTTCCACACCAAGGGATGTATTGGCCCGCATTCATTTTTTCCATGTGAAAGATAAAATTATGTCGGCGGCTCGAAACCCACCGCCGCTCCCACCATTGTACACGAATCTCCGATTATATGCTGATTTGTCCAAAGCTACCCTCCTTAACAGAAAACGAATGATATCTATCACCAAGGCCCTAAGAAACCATGACATAGCATATCAATGGGGGTTTCCCACCAAACTATTGGTGCGGCATCAAGGTAGAATTTTTACTATCAAAAACATTGGAGATGGGCCTGGATCTACTGAAAGCCTGGAATATCCTCCCTGCGGAACCACAAGAACCCGAGCATAGCTCTATGGAGGCAACATGATCTTCACAAGACATATTCTTCCTCCTTTCCTTATATATGTCCATACTTTTACCCAGGAGCAATTCTTCTTCTGATTGTCTGGCGTTTGGCCTACATTTGGCACAGTTCGTTCAAAATGGTTGTAATTGGCTCGACCCCCGTCTGGCGGTCAAGCCCACCTGCATCCCCCAGTTTTGAGGTAGCAAAGTTGGCTACTCGGGATATTTGCATTTTTCGCAAATCCTTTTTTATTCTTATTCTTCATATCCTTACCCCTTCCCTACCATGGCACCTTTGGATACCCACGCAACACCCATATATCACCTACTTCGACACATCTTGGAATACTCCCCTCAACACTCCGATTGAGTCACAATCCTATCACCTCCTCTTACATGCTTATCTCCTAGCAAGACACAGGATCATCTGCCTCTCCCAAATACCACCTCAAGTTACGGAAAAGCGAGAAATCATGATTCCAAATGATTAGTCTTACATCACTTAACGTCCGAGGTCTGAACTCGCCATATAAATGTTCGTTACTCTCTAGAGAAGCACGGAAGTCACAAGCGGACATACTCTTTATTCAGGAAACACACTTCGCTACTGAAAAGGCGCCTAAATTATACCTTCACCGTTTCTCTAAAACATTTATGGCGTCTAACCCCAAAAAAAAGAATGGAGTGATCACGGCCATTAAGGATTCTCTTTCATTTCGCCTTTTGTCACAGAGGGCGGATCCACTTGGACGCTTTCACATTTTAGTATGCCAAATAAATGACAAGACTTATACCCTGGTAAATGTTTATGGCCCGAACTGCAAACAGCTATGTTTCTACCGTAAACTTTACAAAACCATCTCCATACTTAAACAAGGGAAACTCATTATCGGCGGGGATCTTAACATTACGGGTAATTCGAACATGGACTCTTCTTCTACTTCAAAATCCACGAAACTAACTATCAATCAATTTCTGCACGACAATGACCTTTACGACATCTGG